GAGCGCTTACGGGACCTGAACCTTTCGCTGGACGCGGCCCGCCGGACTGCCGAATTATCTAAGATCGAAACCCGGATTGCCAGAACCGCTTTATTCCCCACACTGGGCGTAAATGGCGGTTATGCCTATAGTTATGTGCGCAGCCAGGCTGGCCAGTTTGTATTCAACCGCAGTTATGGCCCTACCGGCAGCGCCAGCCTGAACATCCCTATTTTTCAGGGTGGTAACCTGCGCCGCCAGGTGAAGGTTGCGTCCTTGCAGGCCATGAGCGACCAGCTTGTTTATGAGCGGCAAAGTACCCAATTGGGCAGTCAGTACCGCAGTGCCTGGAAGTCTTATGAAACGGCTGTGAGCACCTATGAGCTGGAGGAAGAAAGCATTGGTTATGCCCGTGAGAACCTGGACATTCAAAAGGCGCGTTTTAAAGTTGGGATTGCTACAACCCTGGAATTGAGAGAAGCAGAAAACAGCTATGTGCAGGCCCTGGCACGCAAGTATGTGGCCGCCTACAATGTCAAGGTGAACGAGACGCGCGTACTGGAACTGGAAAACAAGCTTGCCCAATAAGCACCTGATTTTATAGTTACCGGAAACGGCCCTGGCTTCCTATAGCCGGGGCCGTTTTAGTTTTCTGAAGATATGGATTGTGTTTTTATCTCAATAAATTTCAGGCTGCTGCTGCATGTTTATTTTTAGTATATTATGCACTGCGTTACTATAATAAATGATTTATTGTATGCCCTTTAAGTTTTATAACCTCTTTGTTTACGTTTTTTCCCATCGTGCTGATTCTTTTTCTCTAAGATATTTACCGGTTTTTATATTGAGAAATTACCGGGTGTTGATTTCTTTATATTTTTAGTATATTGTAAGTCGTGTTGATAGATAATCAATGAATTATTGCGTACTGTTTAAAATTTATAACCCATTTTTATCACAGTTTTTTGATTTTCCCCTTTGTTAACTATAAAAAAACAAAACATTGTATGAGTTATTTTCTACAATCACTAACGAGTAAATGCTGTACCCTATTGTTCGGAGCATCGCTGCTATCTGTAAGCCTGTCCGCACAGGTTGCCAAAGTGTCCGTCGCAGACGAGAAGTGGCAGGATGGTGGTGCTTTTGGTGGTTATAAACCAGGGCAGGAAGTTCTGGAAAAACGTAACCGCAACGCCAAACATTTTCAGAATGCCGATGGTTCGTTTACGGTGCAAACCGGAAATGTGTATCATTATAAAGATGCCGCAGGTGCGTGGCAGGATATTGACCTGACTATCAAACCAGCCGGGCGTAACGATGGTACGGGTTATGCAAATGTGACCAACGAGATCAAAGACTACTTCCCGGCAAACCCTGCCAATGGCGGGGCTATCAGTATGACCACTGAGAACGGAACAACCTTCAAATGGTGGAGTATGCCGGAACTTAG